GGAAGTTGGTTTTGAACAAACAACCATGAATTGATCGTTCAATCGTCAACTTCATCGACAATGAATTTACAGTTTGCCTGTTCTTTCTGACATGAGAGTCGGTCAGAACTCTTTGCTATGATGTCTGTTTGTGTAGCATTTATATATATAGAAACATTGTCTTTGCATTAACAATTGTACCCGGCATCAGATGAATGTAATACAAATATATGGGAAATTATATCTTGAAGTCATTTCTACCATATAACTTTGTTGTGAACAGCACCCTTGGCTTAAATATTATTGATGTATTATGTTGAGTTCAGTGATGTATTTATTCCATTTTTTCAGCAGTCTTATCGTAGTTTTATAACAGGAAAGAAATTTGATCGTGGATACGAAAACTAGATAAGGTCATGTTGGGTTGTTTTACTGCATCAAGTGGTGCCGAGGTCGATTCCAGAATTCTCCATTTGCTCCATTTGTGTCTGCATGGCGGACTGTATTCCTGAGTTCAGTAAAATGTTGAAAACTGTTTGAAAACCAGTGGCTTCTTCATTTCAGATCATGAATACTCATTTTCAGCACGTTCGCCAGCGTCTTCAAATGGTCGAATTGCATCGTTCATGGAATTTCAGTGGTTATGAGATAGATGGTTTGGAATTAATCCTCATTTCAGTTTAGATGCAGGGTTGTTCGACCTCGACCAGAAGGTGAATAGGAGTAGCAGAGTACCAAAACCAGAAAGTATGTGAACATGAAAAGGATATCAATGTATACATATAAATGTTTGTGTCAATTGTATATTATACATTAGTAAAAATTTACCTTTATTTCATTTGTCTTTTCACGTATTTATGCGAAGTCTTAGAGTTTATTTAGTGTCATAATGTGTATTAATGAGTCTGAGCGTTTTAGTAATAATAATAATAATAATAATAATAGTATATTCTCATTTTGTACATGAGAGACGCCAGTTTACAGGCATCATCAATATGATAAATTACATATACGATTAGCAATCATAATTAATAATAATGTTTTAATAAAGTACACATTTTTTCCTACTTGTGTAGGACACACCAAATATACAGGCATGGATAAGCATTAATTAAATTTCATAAATTCGGTTTATGGTTAAGTTACATGGTTGCTGGCGTTTTTGTTTTAATAATAATTATAATAATGTATATTCTCATATAAACATATAAATTTACATGAAAATGCATGCCATTTTTTAGGTCTGTGGGAACAATATGATAACCAGTCATTCAATGGAGCACATCATGAAATATAGGAATATTGACTTCGCATTAACAAAAAAACCCAAGTAAGTTTTGGATGGATTAAAAATACTTGGGAAAAAATAAAGCTTGAAGTTATTCCACAATATAACAAGTCATTCAATGGAGCACATCATGAAATATAGGAATATTGTCTTCGCATTAACAAAAAAACCCAAGTAAGTTTTGGATGGATTAAAAATACTTGGGAAAAAATAAAGCTTGAAGTAATTCCTCAATATAACCTGGGTGTGTACAAATCCGAATCTCATTTTTGATTTGATTTATATCCAAATTGGGTAATAAGGAAGCTATTTTTACAGATACGATCAGTTATGTTATAAGCTACAATCGTGAAGTTGTATTACAAATTGATACTTTTCCATTGGTATAAGAGTATATTCCACAAATGTAATCCACAAATGTAATCCAGGTTGCGTCGTGGAGAAAGTTAATTCGTTATTAACCAGGCAACTGAAAGATACGGGACCAATAATGTTTGCAGATCATTTGTCATTGTAAATGGTCAAATATCCACATTATTCATTCTCATTCAAAAAGTCAAATGGAAGCTGAAATGGTGAGAGAAAAAAGAAGACAAACAACAGCAACGCAAAAGAAAGCAACGGGAGTCCTTAAGGAGTGATTAATAAATATATACATATATATTCTGTTTAGTAACTGTGGTTATTTTGGTACACAAACTAACTAGTCCCGTTATGCTAACTTTTATATTATGTGTAAACTAATATTACTGTCCTGTGTAGAAATGTTAATCATCTAGTTCCAATAATATTAAAATTTATAATTGTAGTTTGTTGTAACTACACGTTTAAAGAACTTAAAATATCTATGTAGGGTGAAAAAGAGGGTGTAAGAGTCAGGCGTAAAAGTGCATTGTCATCTTTGAGCAGTCTGGTGACTGAGGAGATGAACACTGGAAGTGTGTTTGCATCGCGCACATTAGCTGGTAGTCTATTCCAAATGACTGAAAACTTATTTAAGAAGAAGTTGTACCGCACGTAAGTCTGACAGTGCTCTATAGCAGCTAGGTTGTGATGATTTCTAAGATTGTAACTGATGACAGCGGTAGGTTTAGTTATTGGCTCGGAGGAATGCAAGAGAAGATTAGTTAGCTTATAGTAAAAGATAAGGTTTAGCTTAAGGCGTCTTTTCCAGAGGGGTTCTAATCTTAGTCTTACGCATCGCTCATGGTATTCCAGACCACTTTCTAAACCAAGAGTTCTTGAGGTAAACTGCCGTTGCACTCCCTCTAATTTAAGCTTGTCATTTTGTCTTAGTCCGCTAAGAATAAACGGGCAGTATTCTAAGATAGGTCGGACACATACTTTGTATAATAAAACCCTAGTTTCACAACAAAAGAAATTGCGTGTTATGCATCCTATCAGCCTACGCGTTTTACGTCTGGCATAATCAGTCTGTTCAGCGAACGTTAGGTTACTAGAGTATCTAATACCGAGATCTACGACTGAATTGAGCTTAGCTAGTTTTCGCCCATTTATTTCAAGGTTTAGATCAAGCTTACTGTTGCCGATACAAATCCAGCCGCATTTGTCAATGTTAAAATTTAGGCAGGATTCAGCACACCACGTTGCAAGGCTACTTAGTTCAAGATGTATTTTAGTAACCATATCGCTTAATTCATGAGTGTAGCAGGAGTAGACGACTTTGAGGTCGTCAGCATATAGGAATGGTTTACCTGAGGTGAAGCACTTGCAAATGCTGTTAATGTAAACTGTGAATAAAAGTGGACCTAGGACACTACCTTGCACGACCCCACTTGAGATCTGCCTAGGGTGAGACAATACAGATCCAACTTTGGTTATTTGTACCCTGTTGCTTAGAAATGATTTTAACCAGTTCAGTAATGGGTTGCGAATTCCACAAGAGTACAGCTTCTCAAAGAGAATACTGTGAGATACCATGTCAAATGCCCTAGATATATCGAAGTATAGAACAACGACTAGCTTACGTGCTTCGCGATTACTAGTGATGCAGTTGAAAAAGTCGAAGTGGCAAGTAACGCAGGATCTATTTTTGAGAAATCCGTGTTGAGACCTTGTAACAAGATCTTCCCTAATTAGGTAGTCTGACAATTGATCTTTACAACTTTCTCCATGATTCGTGAGATAACTGGGGTTATATTTATGGGTCTGTAATTGCGGACGTTTGCCCTATCACCAGATTTGTAATGTGGAATTATGAAGCTAGTTTTCCACTCACTAGGGTAAGTGCCAGTGTCCATAGATATTGAGAAGAATTTAAGAAGTAACAGGGGTATATCACACCCACTGTTTTTGAAAATTATCGAAGCGAGGCCATCCGGTCCCGTACTAGTGGAAGGTTTAAGGCTTTTAATTGCTTGTACTATTAACTGATTAGTGAACACAATGCTTTCAAGGGAAGAGATAGTAAGGGGAGCGGTTTCACCAGGCATATGTGTTTCTAAACTAAAGTTTGCAAACCAATCACTGAACAGTTCACAGATAGTGGCAGGTTCATTGTAGATTACTTTGTCGTGAAGTAAGTATGGGATTTCCCTCGCTGACTGCATTCGTTTTTTAAGAAGTGCCGTTAAGTTATAAACTTTGGAGGTACTTTCAAGTGCCGTTAACTCTTCGTCGAGGTCCTTTTGAGAACGTAGGCGCTTGATAGATTCAAGAGACTCGTGGATTGAGAGCAATAGTGATATGTCCTTAGTGGAATAGTACTGTTTCTTCAGTTTCCTTAACTTATTACGGTGTGCCCTTGGAATATATTCAGTTCGGTGTCTACTTAATTTCACTATTTTATTTGGGGCAACTGTATCTAGACAAAGGGTAACATTCCTGTAAAACAGGGTTACTAAGGCCTCCAGGGAGTCAGTGGTAAAATAGTCATCCCATTGACAGAGTCGAATAAGTTCTTGGACTAATCCCCAGTCTGTATATTTGTAACTACGACATATTGTGCTTCCTGAGTCTTGTTTGTTTCCTGTATTTAGTGGTGAGAAAGGCAGAGAGCAGAGTACCATTCTATGGTCACTACTGGAAAATCTATTACCAACATAAGTGGATACTGGGATTGTGTCATGACAAAAAACAAGGTCCAAAATGTTGTCCCCACGAGTAGGTGTCTGGACGTGTTGTTGCCATCCATAACAGTCTATAGTGGCAAGTAATTCGTCGAAGCGTTGGGGGCCGGAACTAGTTAGCCAATTAACTTCTGGAAGATTGAAGTCCCCTGCAATTATTTTGTAATTAGCACTAAACGAGGATGCATGTGCAAACGATTTAGCTAATAACGCATCAGTTTCTTTTGTTGCGCTTGGTGCTCGATAAACACAGCCTATGAGAAGTTTGTACTTATCTCCATGTAAGACAACCCAGAGTGAGTCAGGTACATTATTCATTGTTTCATCTTCCACCTTACTGACTACAAATGAGTTATGTATATATATGAGACATCCTCCACCACGCTTGCAATCTCTGTTTGCACGGTGTACAGTGTAATCATCGATACCTATATGCACATCAAGTACTGAGGATGAGCACCATGACTCAGTAATCAGAGCTACAGTAGGCTTGGCGACTAATAATAATGTCCTTAGTTCAGATATCTTATTGATTAAGGAGCGTGCATTAATTAGCAATATCGTGAATAAGTCACGGGATACTACAAACTGGCTTAAAATGTCACCATAACCTAAATCTATTTGTGCGTCAGCACCGCAAGAATTTATGAATGAAAAGGAGGTCGGACTGGGTGTCTGCACATCGGAGTTGGTGTGCAATGAGGTGGTCCTAGGTGCCATGGGTCGTACCAGTGATTCAGGACACCTGGAAAATTTACCATGTGTTCCTGGATATAAGGGTAGTACAGGTTGGGCCTAGGTTGGCGGTTAAAAGGCATAGCATCAGAAGGTCTACCCATCCAACTGCTATTCGTCATACCGGTATACACCTTCGGGTTGTTTTTATAACTTAAAGGGAATTGTGAAGGAAGGTGCTTTGGCTGCAAGACTTTAGGAGTCTTGGAGCCTGACTTTCTATAAGGTGGAGCATGCGGAACACCTCCAGATGTACTTATGTTTCGAGAGGAGTTTTTCGTAACAAGTGATGGTTTGTTGGCATTCTTACTCTCAGCAGGCTTATTGAATACAAAGTATTCTTCCCCATCATTAGTCTCAACCCTGCGAAATTTGTTCATCGTGGTGAGGTTACTACGTTTGGGGGGAAATTTCTTAGAACAACTTGCAGAAGTTCTAGTCATTTTAACATCTTTCGATGAGGCTTTGTTTACAGGGGTACTGGTATCTAAATCAGTTCCTAGTTCCATTGGCAGGTGTGGTTGTTGTGTAGTTTGCTGAATGCTAGTTTCAGCACTAGGTGTCTGTTGCTGTGCACGATCCTTATTTGGTAAATCAAAGCTAGAGCTAGAGGAGGTGACCAGGTTATTACTACGCATTATTCTGCGCTGACACGGTGTTTTATCCTGAGCTACGGTTATAGACTTATAACTGCTATTCAGTCTTAAGTGATCCTGACATTTAGTAAACTTACTAGCATCAAGGGAATTACTGAATTTAAAAATGATTGGGCAATTAGCCTGGTTAGACTTTTTACGAAGTCGTTTGCATTCACATGGAACACTAGCCATGCCGCAACAAATCAGGATTTTGTGTCTTACAGTTTTCAGGGGCAGAGAGTCTGGGACGTTGTAAACTATAGCTTGGTGAGAAGAGGTTATACGCTTCATCACCTCCGTAGCCAAGCAGTCAATCAGATTTTCAGCTTTATTTAGGTTGTCTGGAGATATTTTAGGATGCCTTTCTAAAAGACAGGCTATTGGGTCTAAATTCAAAAGCTTATTTTGAGTTACATCCAGTAAACACTTAACCTGGCCAATATCAGAACGGCTCTCCGTGGTATTTGAGATTGGCAGTGACATACTATCAAACTGATCTAATTTTTTCTGAATTTCACTTACTTGCCTCTGCATATCTTTCAAAAGGAGGTTTAGTTTACAGAACTCAGAGTTCTCTAACAGAACATCTTTCACCTGTATCACAGGAGTGAGATCTGCACTCAAACCATTTTGAGAGCTAGTAGTTGATACTGTATTACCAGGCGGTAATGCAGTTATAACCGAATTTAAGCCACTATCTAAAACAATTGTGTTTCTACGAACACGTTTTTTAGAGATTTGGACCATAATTTCAAGAATTATATGACAATAAGCAGTAAATAAATTTCAGAGCAAACACGTGCAAAAATGTCACCAATTTCGAACGTACCGCCAAGATGAGGTGTTCCAATGACTGATGCGTTTTAGAAATAAGTGATGGGTTCTGGTAGGGATAATCATTGGAATAAAACAGTTTATATAGCAAGCGTTCGAAGGTTACAATTGAGTGACAGGTCCTATTTCTGAGGGTAAACTATTCCTGTATGTCCCGTACTAAGTCTTTTTATACATCCATGCTACTAGTTTATTTATAGTTTTTAGATTGCTAAGGGTATTGAAGTACGTTTTTTAGGTGCTGTAGTAGATTAGTAGTTGATTCGTTCTAGGAGTAAATAGTTTAATAATATAATCAGTAGAGTGAAACAGTTTGCGTAGAGAGCGCTTGAAGCTTGTAACCGAAGAGCAAGTTCTGACATCTAGGGGTAGGCTATTCCATATTTTAGAATACATGACTGTGAAGAAGTTTTCACGGAGTGTTGAATTAAAAGAATGAGTTGTCACTGTGGAAGTTTGGTTACGCAGATCGTAAGAACCTTCCTGTGCGAATTGTTTGTCCCTGTTACCTGAGAATGATATTTTGTGAAGGACCTTAAAGAAGAATATTAGGTTTATAATAAGTCGCCTTGTCCAAAGTGGGTCGAGTTTTAGGATCATGCAGCGTGAGATGTAGTCTTTCTTACAATCGTAGCCAAGTAGTTTTGAGGTAAAATATCGTTGGATACTTTCCATCCTTAGCTTGTCACGTGTGCGAGTGCTGCTTATAATAAATGGACAGTATTCTAGTAGTGGTCTGACACATGTTTTGTACAGAATTAGCTTGGCTTCATTGTCGTGAAAGTTCCTGAGTATGCATCCTAAGAGCATCCTCGATTTTCTAGTCTGTGATGCTACTTGCTCAGAGAATGTCAAGTCACTAGAGTACCTCAGGCCTAGGTCAACGACACTTCGGAGTCTTGTTAGGTTAGCAGATTGGAGTGTTAATTTCAGGTCAATTGAGGGTGCGCCGAAGCAGATCCAGCCACATTTGTTCAGATTGAATTGGAGATTCCATAGGGACGACCAAGCAGTCATTTTATCTAATTCCTTCTGCACTACATTCTCGAAGTTCCCTAAGTCATCACATTGGAATGTATAAGCTACTTTTAGGTCATCTGCAAAGATGAATGGTTTCCCGTGCGTGAAGCAAGCGCATATGTCATTGATGTATAGTGTAAATAGGAGGGGTCCAATGACACTACCTTGTACTACACCAGAAGTGATAGGGCTAGGTTTGGAGGTTGCAGACCCAAGTTTAACTATTTGGGACCTATTGTTAAGGAATGATTTAAGCCATCCTAATAATGGGTCACGTATTCCTAAGGAGTTCAACTTGTTTGTTAGCAGTAAATGGTCAACACGGTCAAATGCCTTAGAAATGTCAAAGTAGATGACAAGTACTAGTTGCCGTCTGTCACGACTGCTGGTTACAAAATTGAAGAAGTCTAGGTGACATGTTAAACATGATCTGGATTTCAGGAATCCATGTTGGTTTGGACTTATAATATTCCAGCTAAGCATATGTTTGATTAAGTTATCTTTGACTAGTCTCTCCATAATTCTAGATGCTATAGGTGTGATATTGATCGGCCGGTAGTTACTGACTTCAGTTTTCGAGCCAGATTTGTGTTTAGGCATAATGAATGTTGTCTTCCATATGTCAGGGTAAGTTTGGGTTTCTAGGGACATTGTGAATATTTTAAGCAGCAGTAGAGGAATGTCAGGGCCACCATATTTATAGAAGTAAGATGATATACCGTCGGTACCGAAACCTTTTGAACTTTTGAGGGTTCTTATAGTTTGGTTAATATTAGCGTAAGTGAATTGAACAGTGCTAATTTGGTTTGGTGTGAGTGGAGTTGGAGTTTGTGCCATTTTAGTAATAGGGTGTATATCGGGTAGCTGGACTGAGGGCTTAAGGTAGTTACCTGCAAACGTTTTGTTGAATAGTTCACATATGTCTGCAGAGTTAGTGCATAGCCTACCTTTGTCTATGAGGAGAGAAATGCTGTGATTTTTGCGATTCATTCGCTTCCTTAAGATTTCTGTGAGTGCATACACTCTAGCAGGACTGGCTACTGCGATGCGTTCTTCCTTTCTCATACGGAAATCTCGAGCTTGTGAGATGGAGCTAAGGGTATTAAGTATTAGACCTAGAGTGCCAAAGTCGTGGTGTTTGAAGTAACTTGTTGAGAGTTTCTTCAGTTTCTTACGATCCTTTGGTTTTATGAATGACTTTCTGTGTGGGGAAACCTTTAGTGTTTGGAGTGGAATGACAGCATCTAAGCATGTGTTAGAGTTATGGTAGAAGATGGTTAGGGCTCTCGATAGGTCATCAGTAGTGAAGTATTCATCCCATTTGGAGGATCTTAGCATTGATTCTACTAAGGCCCAGTTTGCCTTACTATAGTTCCTATATATTACTTGTTGTGAAGTGGAGGTATGAGATGCATTGCTACTCAGCGGAATTGGCAGTGCACACATCACTGTTTTGTGGTCGCTCCCTGGGAACTCAGAACCTACTAGCGTTGAAAGGGGGCTTATATTGTGGCAGAAGATTAAGTCTAGTACGTTATTACCTCTTGTGGGAGTAGTGACAGTTTGTTTCCAGCCAAGTATATCCAGTGTGCCTAAGAACTTATCAAATTTAGTTGGACCTGTGGGTATATCCCAGTTGATTTCAGGTAAGTTAAAGTCCCCACATAGGATCTTATGATCGTATTGTAAGTCGGATAATTGCTCCAGAGTATTAATAAGTTGGGTCTCGTAATTACTAAAGGTGCCAGGTGCTCTGTAGGTGCATCCAATTAATGCTGTTACGTTATTTAAGTGTACATTAACCCATAGAGTCTCAGGCATGTTAAGTGTACTACTTTCTAGCTGTGATACAGTAAGTGCATTCAGAAAGTACATGAGACAACCCCCTCCCTTACCACCTTCCCTGTCACACCGAAAGTGTGTGTAGTTATCTAAGCTTATTTCTTCATCCAGGATGTCCGAATGACACCAAGATTCAGTGATGACAATTACAGGGGGTTTGTATATTACTGTGAGTGCTCTGAGCATCGGCAATTTATTTAGAACAGATCTAGCATTTATGAGGATTACGTAAAGATGAGAGTTGAAGTAGCATTTGAAGTATTTAAGTTCGTTAGTCAGCCCCGAATATGGTTCAGCACCCAGTAGTTCTGCTTGACATGATGATCCTATGTTAAGAGGAGTTCCAGCATCATGCTCACCTATGTCTATCGAGTTGGTGTGTGCTGTTTTCGGTGAAGAATTAGGAGTTGGAGTACTGGATTTGCTATAGACTAAGGAATTTTTATTTTTAGTTAGGTTACAGAAGTGGGTAGGGTTCTTTATTTGACCTATACTTGTGCAAGTGTCAAGTGTGCCTAATGGATACGGGTGCACTAGACCGTTCCTGTTTTCATGCAAGGAGGGAGCCAGCTCTAGTGGTTTAGGAGTGTTAACATCCCTACCAGCTGTTTTTTCAACGCTGACAGGGACGCGGGGGATAAAAAATGATTGGATCCTTGTGATGACCATGGCTTATTATTCCACCTATTGTTTGATGCTAGTTGTGTCCTTGTGTGGGTTTCGTGTGTACTGCATTGTGGGTTAGTTCCCAGCAGACTTGTACCATATATCCGGTCGAAATTTGTTTGTGTGCCATACTCTGAAGACCCTGAGTTGTTGGTAGCCGAGTTCTGACTATTACCACTTGTACTATTGAGGGTGACATTGGATATTAGTGTGTGCCATGGTGCGATTTAGCACGTTGTGAGTGCTAATACTATTAACCGTGGGGAGTGTGGGCTTATTTAAGCTGCCACTGTTTTTGTTGGTATGATTTAGGGGCATATTTTCCTTATCTTTACCAATGGAATTATAGCTAGGAGAGGACAAAGTCGAATTTCGGGGGGTTTTAACTTTTTTTCTGGGGTTATTTAGTGGCATTTTAGATTCTGCGGTGATGGGTGGTATGGTTTTATTATTTATTTGGTTACAGTCTAGTGGCCTTTCGGCTGGTGTTGCACTCTGATGGGATATTTCTGTGTGTTTTGAGAGGGGTGATGCGGTGGGGTCTACTGTATCTTTCACAGGGTTGGGAATAATGGCTGCTTGCAATGTCCTATTACCTATTTCACAATTAGTCTTAGCGAGATAGTTGTATGCGCGCCTTTCTATGACTGTTTTGTCCACCCCGACCTTTATATGTTTGTAGTTTCTGGCTTGCGATAGGGTGTGTTGGGAGTGAATGAATTTTCTGGTCTCTGCCGGTGTTTCGAACTGAAAACGAATAGGACAACACTTTTCATGTTGACTCTTCTTCAGCCTGTAGCACTTAGTCTTGGAGTTAGGCATTTTCGCTTCACTAAGTAAGATGCGCTGTACCTTTTTTAGTGCCTCATTGTCCGGAACGTTGTAGACAATAGCACTCAGTTTTGCGTCGAGTCGTTTTGTTACTTCTGTGGTAACAAAATTAATGAGGTTATCTACCTTAGTTACCGATTCTGTGTCAAGCTTGTTAAGGTTTACAGTTTTCATGAGGATAGTTAGAGGTGTCAGTTCACAGACCTGCGATCTGATATCGCTGATCTGATCTGATAATTTGGATATCTCGGTATTGGTTTCGATGTTTCCAGCATTTACTGACTTACTGTTTTTTATTTCCCTTAACTCAGCCTTAAGTTCTCCTATAGACAACTTTAGAAGTTCTATTTCTGAAGATAGTACTGAAAAAGAGCTTGATGGCTGGAGTTTCTCCATAAGCACATAAGGTGAAGGGGGGAGTTCTGTATGAGCAGAGGGTACCGAATTTTTAGGAGTAGTGCTAATACTGGCTGTCAGTACAGTTTTATCCTCAGTTTCAGCTCGACGCTTACGGCATACACGTGAGTTATGTGACTCACTATAGCAGTTTGTTG